GAGTTTTCTCTCTCTTTCCACCATGTGATCTCATGGCAAGAAGACTGCTAGCTGTCTGTCACTCTTAGCACTATCTTTTTGGATATGTCTCCCCAGACAAGAGAAACAAAAGGAAAAATAAACAAACGGGACTACATCAAACTAAAAAGTTTTGCACAGAGGAGGAAACAATCAACAAAATAAAGAGACAACCTACTGAATGGGAGAAGATATTTGTCAATGATACAACCGATAAGGGGTTAATATCTAAAATATATAAGGAATTCATACAACTTAACACCAAAAAAACCCCCCCAAACTGTTTGAAAAATAGGGAGAAGACCTGAATAGCTATTTCTCCAAGGAGAACAGTCAGAAGCTGAGCAATTCGGCTCCAACCTATGTTTCCAACTTTGCGTGCTGCCACTTCACAATGTGAGCTCTTCCCAGCCTCAACTGTACACTTGCAGTTCTGGCTTTCAGTTCTCCTCTGGTCCCAAATCCTGTCCACACACTTTCCTGGTCCAGCAGGTCTGTGTGGCGTTTAAGCAGTCGGGACTGTCTGTGTTAACTGCTCTGGGTTTTGTATTTGTAGAAAGTCTGTAAAACTCTGGGGGCCAGATCCAGGGCAAGGCCTACAGGGAGGCTCTGGCCTGGCACAGCCATTGGAAAAGAAAAATTACATTTGTATGTTGACAGCATGTAAATTTCTTCAGCTAGAAACTGTCATTAGCAGGAATAATTAAAACAGGAAGCTGCTGAGTTGTTCTTTCTTTGAGTCACATAATAAATCACAACATTATTTGCCAAGCGTTTGCATGCTAGCACTGGGCACCAAAATTGCAAGTTGCATCTGACAGCCAGGGTCCACCAGGGTGGAGAAGTGTTTGGATCCTGGCTCCGCCCCTCGCTGAGTGACTAGGCAAATTCCTTAACCTCTCTGACTTTTCCTGTTGGAATTTGGGAAGAACTGTTATAGGAATCAATGAGATATTTGATATAAAATGAGTAAGGTTATAACCAAAGCATCAGCAATTCTATGAATCAGACTGCTACGTGTTTGAGCTATACACTGGGAACTCATAATGGTGTCTGTATGGATACAGTGAGGAGACCCAGGATAGGACTAGAGGAGGGTGGGCAGGAGACTAGCTGCAGAGTCACCTTTGCCGAGGGTGGGTTTGGGCCCCAGGTGCAGGGACAGGGTGATGGGAGGTAGTTGCACCCACACAGGGAAATAAATGTGTCCTTTCCTCCCAGCGACCAGGCTTGCTGACCTTGATGGCTGGATGACACACTGCCTGCTGCACGCAGTGATCCCTCACCAGGCCCTCGGCTGTTCTCTGCTGCCGTATTCCTGTGAGACTGAGCACCTCGGTCAGGGACTGCCCGCCCTTCCCCAGGACCTGGCAGAGAGCAGGAGTTTAGCACATACTGGTCTTTACTGCATAGTCCCAAATACCCACTTTTCAAGAATAAAGGAAGAAAGACTTCTTCCTAGGCTGACCTGCTGACCAATCAATGGCCAATCAAGATGTTGCAAGGGAGCCGCTGGCACGGGTTCAGGGGCTGCTTTGCTCATGCACCGCAGAGGTGCAGGGGGTATTTCTGACAGCAGTTATGCAGCTCAGGGCAGATGGAAGAACAGCAAGTACAGAGAGAGCTTGACTCAGAAAGAGCTTGACTGAGCAAGGCTCTGGCTTTGTTTGGCAGCTGTTTACCAGATACCATAGAAGCATGTCTTGCCCGGGGTGATGTGGAGAGAGGCCTGTTAGCCAGTTAGGGAGAATGCAAATGTTTGAGAATGCAAGCCGAGTTATTTTAAGACACTCCAAAACAAAAGCCATGAGGGAATCAATCTGGCTGTGACAGAGTTTATGAGAACCCAGCATCACTGAAGAAGGGGCTCTGTTAACAGAGGGAGAACAGGGCCCCGGGGGCAGAGGGCCTGCTGTGGGCCCTGAACTGACCCTAGGAGGAGTGGCCATCAGCTCAGCAGCAGGGGCCTGTGTTCTGTTTACCTAAATAACGGGACAGAATGTTCCTCAAGCAGAATTGCAGTTGACTGGTGGGGGGTGCGGTGGGGGGGCGGGCACGCTCTAGGGCAGGGGTGGGCAAACTTTTTGACTCAAGGGCCACAATGGGTTCTTAAGCTGGACGGGAGAGCCGGAACAAAAGCATGGATGGAGTGTTTGTGTGAACTAATATAAATTCAAAGTAAACATCATTACATAAAAGGGTACGGTCTTTTTTTTTTTTTAAGTTTTATTCATTTCAAACGGGCCGTATCCGGCCTGCGGGCCGTAGTTTGCCCACGGCTGCTCTAGGGGGAGGCAGCCCTGGGCACTCTGGCCATAGCAAGGGCAGAGCCCGGCCAGGGCTCCATGATCTTGCCAGTGTACTCCAGTCTCTGGTTTGGGGAGATGGCATCTTTATGGCTTGCAGAGGTTGCAATTCCTCTTTAATAACACACAAGGAATTAGTGTTTCTCTTGAGACTGTTAATACCACCTGGTTGCACTTTCAAAAATTAATATACCCGGGGCACGAGCAGAAATCTTGAGATTTCTCCATTAAGTATGTTTTGTAGCTACGTCATTCCTTACCCGTCATTCCTTACCAGCGCACGTCAAGGTTGCCTGCTTTCCCCCCTTTCTTCTTGTTTTTCCTCCTATCCCTTTCTCTTCTATTCTTCTCTCCCTTTTCTCTATTTCCTTTTTCTTCTCTTCTGTTTTTCTTTTATTCTCTTAAAAAAGAGAGAGAGATGATGATGCACAGAAAGTGTGGAAGTGAGCTCCTAGGGTTGGGCTGATCCAGCCTCTTAGGACCCAGGTTCTTTCCATCGCTCCCTCCTGCTCTGGGAGACAGCTTTGCTGTCAGACCAGTTGCCCTCTTGGTCGTAAGATGGAGCCTCAGTTCCAGGCATGACATTTTCACACCTACGTTGGTAAAGGAAATGAGTGGAGACAATCAGTCACAAGACTAGAAGGAGTGGTGGGGACCATGGTGAATTACAGAGAATGCCCCTGCCCAGGGCATTCAAATATAAAACATCCCCCCCCCACCCCCATTGCTTCAAAATAGAAATACACTGTTACAAGCAGTTGAAAGTCATTGCTCCAAGCTTGCAGCTCGCTGCCCTGAGCTGCAGAGGATGGGTGACCTGCCCCAGACAAAGAGGGTGAAGGCTTCTCCGTCCCAGCCTCCCTGCTGTCCACAGCAGCGGGGACCCTAGGCTGCCCAGCCCCGAGCTTCACCTCCTCAGCAAGGTCCCCCACTTCTTACGAGTTGAGGTGGAGTTGTTTCCTTTCCTGCCCTCTCATCGCCCAGCACATAGGCTCGTGCTCCCGACGGCACCCGTCGCATTCACAGGGAAGCTGCACCCTCACCGCATAGGACAGACCCTCCGATGCTTTCTTCTAATCCAATCTGTAGTTTCCAGTGGTTCTCCAAGCGAACCCCGCAAACCAGAACACCATCACCCAGGCTTTCTTAGAAACGGTCATGGCTGGGCCCCACCTCAGACCTGATCAGAAACTTGAGGGTGGGGGGTGGGACCTGGAAACTGAGGTCTTAAGCCCTCCACGGGACTCGTGTGCCCCAAAAGCCACTGTCCTGAAGTCCCTGCAGTTTAGAGGTCAAGGGAAGCTTTAAAAAAGTATTAATGCCTGGATCCAATCCCTCCCCCCTAAATTCTCGAACCCACAACCTAGGTATGTTCCCTGACCGGCAATCGAATCAGCAACCTTTAGGTCTACAGGACGATGCTCCAACCAACTGAGCCACCTGGCTAGGGCTCCCCACCAAATTCTTATGTAACTGGTCTGGTGTGCAGCCTGGACATTGGGATTTTTAAAAGTTCTCTGGATGACGCTAAATTGCAGCCAAGACTGTGAACCACTGATGTAAATAAATGTGGAGACAATTATACTGTAAATGATTAAGCAGAAATGAAGAAAATGAGACACACATACTGACAAAAATGAAAAGTTCTCTTTACTGCTTCAAAATACACAGCTCACTGTTCTGAAACACTGTCGCATTTGCTATGTTCCCTTAGCTGCCCTTTTCCCTTTTCTGTGAGTTCAGATAGAGAGGGTTGGTAAAACAAGCTTGAACGGTAAGAGAGAGCCTCCAATCACCCTCATGCAGGAGGAGAAGGGGCCCCCTTGAAAGTCCCCTTAATGCATAAGGCCCTGCCACCACCAGCCAGCTCTCAGGACAAAGGGCATCGTGGGCTATTTTAGCCAAAGTGAAAATGGAACAGGAGCCACTTCTTAACGAAGGGAAAACACGAAACCTTTAGGAGGGGAATCAGTTTTAATTTAGTAAAACTAAGGACTCTCACATAGCATTTTTGTGACCCAAGAGCAGTAAATGACATAGAATTGGCACCAGACACAGACCTCCTTAGATGGATCGTGGAACCAAAGGTCTCAATTCAAATTGCACCAGGCCATACTCTGGACTTTTTCTGAGGTTGTCTGTCCCAAAGATCCAGGGAGATATAACCACACTCAAAAGTGTAACTGTTTCTCTCTCTCCAAGTAGAATTCTAGCCCAAGTGTCATTTAGGGCGCATAAGGTCATCAACCTTGTGGTTGGTAAGGGTTCATTGGTTGTCTTCATTGTGTAAGATAGAAGAAGCTCACAGTGAATCTCCAGGCTTTTCTTCCACACCTCGCGAGCTGCGGTTTGCCGACCACTGCCCTAGCCGGTGACTTATAGGAGACTCAACACAGGTATTTTTGTACTTCTTCCAATTGAAAGCTCCATGGGGTGCCTGGCCAGCATGGCTCAGTGATTGAGCATCTACCTATGAGCCAGGAGGTCAGGGTTTGATTCCCGGACAGGGCACATGCTGGGTTGTGGGCTCAATCCCCAGTAGGGGGTGTGCAGGAGGCAGCCGATCTCTCATGGATGTTTCTCTCTCTCCCTTCCTCTCTCTGAAATCAATAACAAACAAAAAAAAGTGAAGGATAAAAATGTAAGTATGGTAATAAATTATCCCCACACAACCTATATTTTTAAGTAATTTATTTCAATAGAAATATTTCAGAAAACTGTACTTAAATTCATTTTCAAGTCAGCATATGCAAACACACCGAAGATCTCACACTCACATTTGCATATTGAACAGAAACAAAAAGTGAGGGAGGAACCAAGCTGCACATCACTCAAGGAGGTCATAGTGCAGCCGAGTGCTTCGTCATGAGTACTCAAGCTCACTGGGGCAAAGGGTAAAAATGGCTTGTGTTTTCCTGCATATAATCATCACAGGGTACTTATCCCCACAGATGTTTACCTCCTACAGAGAACACTGTGGATGGGTCCCCCCACCACTCACCCACACTTCAGTAGCCTGTACAACAATGAATTTGTCAACAACCAACGTGTAGAAACTGTTGAGAGCCTGGTGACTTCTTATCGGCTATGCTGTCGGACCTAAGTCAATAGTTACTGGACTATCTTTGTGAATAGATCTAATACACAATATCTTCAGGGGAAACTTAGTATTTCTGACCTAGTATCTAAAGCATGGCTAATATTTATGAAATTTTCTATTTAAAAAACCAGTTTAATCTCAAAGCACTCTAATTATGTATTCTTCGAATCTCATCACTACTTTGCAGCCCAAATGACCAGATCAAAATTTAAATTCTGCTAATTACTCACCCTCAAGGACCAGTGAGTTAACCCTTCATGTGGCTTTAAAGACCATGTCTACTTGCCTACTTTGGAACAGACGAGCCCTTTCATATTTGTGAAAATAGCATCTTGACTCAGTTGAACAACAGTAGTAGTTCCACATCTTGTAATAATCATAGAGGAGAAAAGTGTTTCCAAGCTTTGCTTTTCCTGGGAAATTTCCTTTAGTCTCTTAACTTCCCTTTAATTTATATACTGGAGTTGTTTTCACTTTCCCATCATGATGTTTTCAAGTGAACAATAACTGGTAGGTTAAGTGGCTGCTTGTTTGTTCTGAGTCTTATTTAAATATAAGAATGAACCAAACGAAATTTCATTTCTGACCAAATGGATTCTCATCACAAGACTTCAATAGCTTTCATAAAACCCGAACACATCTTTCTGGCTGCATCATATTCTTTTAGAGATTTCCTGAAAGGCCTTATAATTAAGTATATGCTCATAGCAACTACAACAACAACCAAAAACATCAACACAAAATAAACATAAACTCCGTGACGGGTAAGAGTGCTCATCCAAAGAGCGACGTGGGTGGATTTATTTTTAATCTCCTGCCCGGACGGAGAGGAGCAGGAAGGAAGCTTGTCTAAAAAGACTCAAAACCAAGGAGGGCTGCAACAATTACCTAGGAATATCTATACAGACTTTCTTAGACTGGATGCGAGACAGAGTGAGCTGGTGGAGAGAGGGGTAGATAGCACTCCTGAAATAAAGGAGTAAGAGGGGTAGATAGCACTCCTGAAATAAAGGAGTAAGAGGACCCATGATTATTGTCATACTCCATGCCTATAATTGGTCTTCAAATTGATAAGGCACTGACCAAATTTTCCCCACACTATGACTTGAGATACCGTGTAATGAAACTGCTTTCAATAAGCTTAAGAGTTTGAACACAGAGATCTCTTTCATTAGAATTTTCTAAGTAGAAAAAAAAAGTCACTTTAGACACAAGCCATTTTTCGGGGAGCAAAGCAAAAAATACTTGAATCATTTTGAAAAGGCTGACTTCACATGAAAAACAATTATCATCAATGTGATTAAGTAACTGTTCATATCTGAAAGCTTAGAAAAAATCAGACTACCACTCTGGCTGTAAAATCTTTGAAAGAAAAAACTACAAAAGAAGAGAAAAAATAAAAGCAAACCTCAAAAGATCACGAAATCAGGCAAACCTCACCATCTGTTCATGCATCAGCAGCGCTAATACTGTTCCACCGAGACACGGGCGAATGGATCTTCATTTCCAAAAAGGGATCCAATTATTTTGAAAGCCTTTGAAGCAGAGGATTTCTGTTATGAAAGGTTATCTTCTGTTGAGCAACACTGTACCCCTTGTTTGCAGAAGATAACGTGGCAGTTTAAAAACTGGTTGTGAAGGAATGTGCCTCAAAAAACAGGAAGCATGTCAACAGTGGATATCTTCTTTACAAAAGTAGATGGATTAAATGTTTTGATTCCCAGAATTAATATGATGCCTTACAGTTTTGTTTTCAGTAGCAAAGACATACAGCTTACAGATTTAACCTAAAAAATGGGGGGTGGTGTGGGGTGGGGAGAAAAAAGACCTCTGCTCAAGTAATTTGCCAGGTAAATTTTAGTTATCCCAACAGATCAACAGACCAGCCTGCCCATAGAGGGCCCCTGTTTCAACTAATCTACAGAGTGTGTACACTATACACTGTAAACATTTTCTCCTTCCATAACAATAATGCTCCTTGGTCTCTTTTATAAACCTTCTAGTAGAGGAATAAAGCTACTTATAAAAACTTTGCCGCTATAAACACTGTAACTCTTGGTGCACAGAAAGACTGAATACCAGAACAGTCCACACAGAAGGTAGTGCAATAGTCTATGCATTTCCATACAGGAAAAACATTTGTCATCGAAGCACAGGCCTAGGAGAAAAAACATTCAAACTCAAACTGTTTGGATCCCTTTTTGTAATGTTTACACAAATGACATTTACATAGTGAAGAAAATGAAATAGGAAGGTGTGTTTGATCAATTCTCTTTCAATTCTTACATTTTGGAGATTACAGTAAAAAAATAATAACTGTGAAAAAATAAGCAGAGCTCAAACACACGGGGGCATGAAACCAAAAATAGTGCTCATTGTGCAGTTATTTTTATAGTTATATTTTAAAAACTGGTATGTTACCTCTATGTGAAAAATAAGCTTCTGTTCAAATAAACTGTTACATGCGATGTGTCTGAATTGTATTCTGGCCAATATTATATTCTACTATCCTGGGCCATATAATATGCCAACCATTATGCGTATCATAAACTAGCTTAAATTTAAATTATTGTTTCTATGAGCTCTTCTTGGCTTGGAGAGAAACAGATGAACTTAATATTGATGGAAATTTCAAGCTTCTGGGTCACGAATTTACTAATTTATAAAGGGAAATAAATTAATCATCCCACTAATAAACTACCTAAATATTTAACATATTTTGGAGACATATTTTCTTTGCATGAATTATTATCAGATATCATTTGGTGAATTGCAGATAAAACATTCACCTACACTAGTTTAATCCACTGGTTTCCATTAGCTTCAAATGCTACAATAACCTCAAAAAGCAATGACTAATCTTTTGAAAGGACAAATTTGAAGACAAAAAAACAATGGCAACTTCTATGCACAGTTATGTTAAGAGCTTCAGGCAAAAGGACTGTTTACCAAATTGAACACTATTCTTCGTCTGTGCAGGCATTCATTCATGTTTAGAGCTGAAAACACATCTTCCAGTTTAGCTCCCTCTTTGGCAAAACATCAGGCTCTGACTTCCAGGTGCCTACCTCCACAGACGTGGTTCCCCTATGACATATCTACCGTAGCTTATTTACAACAAACAAAACAAAGCAATAATAAAAAAAAATCCACAGGGTTCTCATCCATAGTATTTTTTAAAAAGCACGTACACTATTAAAAACATTTCTTTCTGAAGAGAAATAAACAAAATAAGAAATTTAAAAAAATGCAAAATAAAAGTCAGATGTGCAAGGTCTACACGGTAATACTGCTGGCTCCGCAGGAGGGGTCCCTCCATGTACCCAACGTGGGTCAAGCTCGGGAGGTCGTTAATTTAAACATCACTCAGCACAGGCAACACTGTCCTCTCCAGCCTGTGTCACTTTCCACAAAACCAGAAACGACGGCCTTTCTAACTCTGCCATAAGAGAAAAATATCTGCACTCTTACTATCCCTTGGAAACAGAGCTAAATGGAAAAATGCATGGCTCAGAAAAAGCTCTTCTGCTTCCTTTTGGATAGATTTTCTTTTTATTTTTTTTTAGCTAATTAGTCTGTGGGCAATATTTTCTATTGATGTTTCATAGATTCAAGAATGAAATACTTATGATAAAAAAGTACAATGTTTTCTAAGAATACAAATGCAAACAATTTTACGTAAGGCCCAAAGTAACAGAGCCTGGTAGGAGGTATCAGACAGAAGGCGTTCTTACTCTGGGCCAGTGCTAAAACCTATGATGCCTCATGAATTTATAACATCCAACATAGCCTTTGTTCAAATGCCATTTTTTGTTAAAACTCTAAGGTATCTTATCTTCAATCTTATTATTATTTTTTTAGTGATTCAACATTTTGGATATTAAATGCATTACTGCATAGACGAGCCCTCATGAAACTACTTGGTCAACTACTGATTTCATAGCAAGTTTTCAGGAAAATGTTTTGCAATAAAGAAAAGTTGTATAAGGAGAGTTTTGATACTTTAAATTCTCAGAATCTCAACCTCTTACCTTTTCCCCTCTTAAAATTATTTTGTATAAAATGAACACATACATATATGGAATCTCTTTTAAACAAATGTGACCCTGAATCTCATATTGAACAAATATAATGAAAATGAATTTTAAAAAAACCTGGCATTGTGCACAATAAACAAGGTAAAGGAAAACATCAATTTATCTCCTTGGTGATAAAAATCACCTGTGACTGGTAGAAGAGCGAATCCAACTAAATTGAAAAAAGTAATGACTGTAAAATCTCAAGGAAGTTTAGGTTGGGATGCAATCCCTACTACGCAGATCTGTGGCCCAACAATGAATTCATATAGAGGCTGACCTTAAACGCAGTTAAAAACAACCATGTTTTCTGGAGCCTATGTGAAAAGTGTCTGGCAGGTGAACACTCGGCCTTTATACCCCTGCAGGAAGTCGTGTTCCCCATACAGTACTAAATCTCAGAAGTTTAGTGTTTAAAAATATCTTTCCTCATCCAAAACCAAACAAAATCCCTCCCAAAGTCCCAAACAAAGTCCCAACAACTCACATTACAACATTTCTAGTTCCTCGTGCTATGAGAGCATGAGGCGGCAGGCGAACGGAGGCCAAACACACTTTCGGGGAGGCTGCTGGAAGAATGCTGCTTATCAGAAGATCTTTACACTTCGGTTCAAAAACATTAATACCTTTATACCTTGGTTCAAAACCAGCTCCTCACGTAACCCATTAGAATGACGTTTTTCCTTTTTAAAGTGTATCTGAAAAAGGCGATTCCCCCCTCCAAAATTAACACAAAGTTAAAAGAAATGCAAATGAGCTACGATCTATTCCAAGCACAGCACCGCCAGGAGATCACACACACTATTTGGTGTTTGGTGTTGGTTTTCCTTGCGTTCTTTTAAGGCAGTGGTTTCCACAGGTCAGTTCAGAGATAAGAAGCGTGGTCCATGGCAGTTTGTTTTGCAACTGCAATTGGTTCTCTGGGAATGTCTCACTTCACTCCCTGGAATTAGTGCTTTTTTGGTTCAGAATCCGGAGGCAGAGAGGGAAGCTCGGCTCCCCTGGCACAGGACTGGTTTTCGCTGGCGCTGGTCCCCCAGGGCCTTGCTCCCACTGTGGAGCAACAATTCACCTCGTCTTTCTTAGGCTTTTACTCAAAAGTCATCAAGTTTGTAGGAACCTAAAAAATACAAGCATCACAAACATTTATTTTTATTAAAGTATTTTTCAATTACAATTGATGCTCAATATTTTATCAGTGTCAGGTGTACAACCCTGTGATGAGACATTTTACAACATATGAAGTGATCCCCCGATATTTCTGGTACTCACCTGGCACCATCCAGTTATTAGAGTATTATTGGCGATATTCCCTATAAGGTACTTTACGTCCCCATGACTACTATGCAACTACCAATTTGTACTTCTTAATCCCTTCACTGTTTTCACCCAGTTCCCTATTCCCCTTCCCCTCTGGCATATGTCAGTCTGTTCTCCCTATCAATGAGTCTGTTTCTGTTTTATTTGTTCTTTTGTTTTTTAGATTCCACATATAAGTGAAATCATGGTATTTGTCTTACCCTGTAGGCCCATTCACAAACTGACAGCATTTAAAAGTTGTCCTTCAAAGTACCTTTTTAATCTTTCCTTGTCATTTTAAGTGAGCCCAAATGTTAAAATCTTTCTGACCTAAAATATCTTTTTGAAAAAATTATATTGGGGTGACATTGGTTATTAAACCTATATAGGTTTCAAGTGTACAATTCTATATACATCATCTGTATATTGCATTGTGTTTACCACCCAAAGTGAAATCTTCTGTCACCATATATGTGAACCCCTTAATGTATCTTTTTTAAAAGGGTTTTTATTGATTTTTATATGAGAGTGAAACATCGATGTTATGTTTATGTCTGTTCAACCAACTGGTGACTCAACTTTATTTATTTATTAAAGTACATATTATTGATTTCAGCGAGAAGGGAGAGGGAGATAGAAACATCAGTGATGAGTGAGAATCATTGATTGGTTGCCTCCTGCATGCCCCCTACTGGGGATCGAACCTGAGACCCTTTAATTCGAAGGCCAACGTACTCTATCAAACCAGCTAGGGCTGTGACTCAACGTTAAACCTGTAGTAGGGATTGGGGAAAACAACACAATGAATTTATTCTCGTTGGCAGCTGAAAGCCTTTATTTCAGTAAAATAAAAACAAAAAGATCCAAATGGTTTTGGGTTTCACTGCAACCACAGAAACCCACATCAACCTGTTAGTAGAACAAATAAAGATGAATCAGAATATATTTTATTAATTTGAAGTGCCCCCTCTTTTTACCCCTCCAGAACTACATTCCCTTGCCTCTCACTATATTCTACCAGCCCGGCTACATACTCTTATTTTGAACAACTGAAGCTCATTGCAGCTTCAGGGTCTTCGCATGGGGCGGTTCCCGTGGCGGTTCCTTCTTATCATTCAGGCCAATGTCATCACTTAGGGAGACGTTTGCTGCTCTCTCCTATTTATTTAAAGTTGTCTCTACTCCCATCGCTCTGCATCACATAATTCTATTTTGTTTTCTTGTATAGTTTTCACTATTTGAAAGTTTATTTGTTCATTTGTTTATTGCCCATCTCTCTAAAATGTGAACTACACATCTTGTTGACTGCTGTCAACAAGAAAAAGAATAAGAATAAGAACATATTCCCCCACTCCATTCAGAAAATTAGTCTACTTCTCTTTAGAACTCTTAAACAAATGCCCAAGTTAGGGACTATTTGAGGATTAAGAGAAATGCTCACCTGTTGCTTGTTACTTTGGCAGGCAGCACTCAAATGCTTAAACCACAGCATTGCATTCATCCTATTGCCAGCTTGAAACTTGTATGAATTTCCTAAAATCATAAAAAACAAAGGGAAAATAATAAAAACTTAAGGACTCTGACATATAACAATTCTGCCAGCTACCAAACCAAACTAAAACAAGACTAGAGGTCTCCGTTTCAGAAGTCTATTTCTCCAACACCTGATTTTCCAGCACAAACAGTTCTCTCTGATACATTCACATGACGTCACTTATGCGGAAAGTAGCTGTTCTGCTGTCTGTGAATTGGAAGAGACGTAAATGTATTTCCTTAAGTGTTCGTTAGAGTAAATGATACCTAAATAAAATGGTTTGGCTTCTGTAGATTTGTATGTGTGGCTGAGTGTGCAGAGTATCGGTTCTCAATACTGCTTAGATGATCTATTAGCAATGTTAACGTGAGGTTTTTACGGGCCACAGTGCTTTAACACTAAGTGGCTAACACTCAGACATTAGCTATTTAATGTGAATAAGGATTAATTAGCTAACATCAGTATCAGCTACCTTTTTAGTTACATCTGTTAAAAATTATTATAGCTTTCTAGGCCTATTGAGGGCTCTCAGGGAAAATATAAGAAGGCACCCTTTTCTCTTAGAAAATTAGAAATTCATCTGTGTTGTGTATATTTAGTAAACCTTATGTTAACTCTAATTCAAGACTGATACATAATTTTTATATGGTCCTATGTACTAAGGTAATAAACTGAGAAAAGAATGAATTCATGTACTATATAGACTGCCTTAAGTTGAGCTTTACTCCCTTTTTTTCATTGACCTAAGTTCTTGTTATTTCCTAATTCTTACCAACTTCTACTTTCCTTTATAATTGCATTCCAGGGCCCAAGAGCCTAATCTACATTTAGACATTATACAACTTTTCTTTGCGATTTTAACATTCAAAGGACTTTTTCACTTTCAGAAGCAATGGTTTGCCTCCACCACATATTTAATTATTCCAATTAAAATACTGTTTTGCTTGCTCAACTGAGATGCAGACATCAGATTAATCTAAATAGAAAGCATTTCTATAATGAAGTTTGCCGCAATTATTATTTTTTCTGTGTTCAACATATTTTGCTTACATTTTTATTTGAAACACTTCATAATACTCTAAAAGCAGACTACCTGTTGATATGAAATACATTCTGAATAAACAGAGGTCAAACTATATAATGTACAGCCCATAAAAGGTAACGCTGCGTTTCCTTGCTGGCTTCCTGGGGTGCCATCAACAGCCAGAGGTGGTCTGAGGAGGAGCAGCAGTCATGCTGGGACCTGTTCTGACTGCCACCTGAGGTAGGACTAGCTGGCATGTGATTCTATAGCCACCCTCCAACATCTCTATTATATTTTTATGAGCAAAGTATTATAATTAAAATTATACTTCTTTGGAAAGTGCTGTAAGTCAAATAAGCAATTAATTTGATTAAAAGTAATGGAATAAAAATCATTTAAAGGAAAACCTCTGCCACATATAGAACTTAAGAATAACAATTTAATTCCGGGTACAAATGAAGGGGTACTATGTATATGGCAAACCACTGAGATTTTAAAGCAACAGTGAGCCATACATAGATTCTCAAATTCCCTCCCTCCCTCCCTCCCTCCCTCCCTCCCTCCCTCCCTCCCTCCCTCCCTCCATAAGCTTATTAAATAAGCATTTAATAAATATTGATCTCATTACTATATATTATGTGACAGAAATATTTCTCAAGAGATAAAACTATACACATCTTCCCCCAGTCAAGTATGAACCCAGTGAAACAGGCTTTGGTTACTATAAAGTTACCTATAAGCCCCGGTTACTCTAAAGCAGTGATGGCGAACCTTTTGAGCTCGGCGTGTCAGCATTTTGAAAAACCCTAACTTAACTCTGGTGCCGTGTCACATATAGAAATTTTTTGATCTTTGCAACCATAGTAAAACAAAGATTTATATTTTTGATATTTATTTTATATATTTAAATGCCATTTAACAAAGAAAAATCAACCAAAAAAATGAGTTCACGTGTCACCTCTGACACGCGTGTCATAGGTTCGCCATCACTGCTCTAAAGACTCACCTTTCTCAGAGTCAGTCAGCAGGAAGAGGTCAGGATGTTCCGGGTCATCAGCCATCATCACCATCCACCCTACCACAGACACATTCTTATTTGATGTTGATTTGAACTGAGAGATAGAAAGACAATGGTTATCTTGATGGCTCAGCCTCTGCAAAGTTTACGTGTCAGGGAGAGTATCTTCAGTTTCTCCCAGTGAGAGATGAGACCTGTGACTTCGTGCTGGTCAGGTGTGCTCAGGGCCTCTTACGACTAAATGCGGCCCCTGTGGAGACACTCACCTGCCTTCCAGATCTTTCTCAGCTTCAACTCTTTGTCAACACCTAATTGTCCCACCGTCCATTCCCAAAGAGCAGGACTGCTAGTGGAACGATAAGGTCATCCATGTTGTTTGGTCTGTTACTGTGCTCCCCCCTCCCCCCTTCCTTACAGGAAACACAGCTGCCTTTTAATACAGATGTTATCTTTCCCCCAGTTTATGGAGATATACTTGACTTAAAACATTGTGTAAGTTTAAGATGTACATTGTAATAGGGGTGCTCTCTTAAACTGAGTGTTATCAGACACTTCTTTATATCTAAATGATTAGACACACATTTGAACAAGAACTATATATATGCAAAAATATTCTTAGCATGTGTTTATTTTTCTAGTTTTTTTATATTTTTATTGATTTCAGAGGGGAAGGGAGAGGGAGAGAGGGCCACAGAAGCATCTACCATGAGAGAGAATCACCCACCGGCTGCCTCCTGCACACCCCCTACTGGGGATCAAGCCCGTAACCCAGGCATGTGCCCTTGACTGGAATGGAACCAGGACCCTTCAGTCTGCAGGCTGACACTCTATCCACTGAGTCGAACTGGCCAGGGCACTTTCTAGTTATTTTAAAGTTACACTTTAAAGATAAATCCCATTCATGAGAAGGCTGTGAAACAATGCTAACAATTTAGAGAAGAAATACTTACATGTTTTCTTTCTGTAGCTTTTAGAGACTTGGCAGTGTAGTAAAAAAGTTGTGTCCCACACAAAGCTGCCCAATATTTTGTCCAAGATGCTACCTGGAGAGGACAAACAATGAATACACGACGGAAATGCTGCCAACTCCTCAGTGCCATGGTCGTTAGCTCTGCTCTACTTCAGCCCCCTCCAGCTAACCTTAGAGCACAACTGAAATCTTTAACTCAAGCACTACTATCACTTCCACTTAATATACTGTACTAGTACTTGCATTCAGATAATTATCCATCCCATCAAGAATCCTGTCACTTTTTCATATTGTCTAGTATTGCCATGACCTTCCCATCCCATGTCCCCCTTCTCCTTTCTTCATGTTCTGTCTGTATTACATGGGTCTGCACTATACCCATTCCCTTCCAAATTCTTTAATCTCACTGCTTGCTCTCCTGACATAATCTTAACCCTAGTTAATCTAACCATCTTTTCTTCCCCAGCAACACTTTCTCATGGATCATCCATCTCACCAGGCCCATACTTCAAATACTATCTATATGCTAATGACTCTCAAATCTCCATCTCTGGCCATCACCTCCTCTACTCAACTTCTGAATTGTACTTTTTAAAGAGCCAAACTGACGTCTCCACTTGCAGCCCCAGCTTCTCTCTGACTTCATCTCTTCCACCTACTGCCCGCTCAACGCTTCAACTACACAGGTCACCATGTCTCCTGAACTCAAGGTCTTCTCATGGCTAACTCACCTTCCTCACTCAGACCTCGGTTCAAATGCCTCCTGTGGTGACAACTCTCCTGACGCCATCACTGTCCATCCCATCTCCTCACTTTAAGGGCTATTTCTCCCACTGGAACGCCATCTCCATGAGGCAGGCGCTTGCTCACTGCTCTATTTCTGGCATCTGGCACACGTTAGTTGTGGTAAGGCCTCAGCTGCTATGCTATTCTTCGTTCACTAGCTAGCTGGTCTTGTGTAGCCTCTGGATTATAACGTAAGCAGCAAAAATCAGATTGCTTAGGTGCAAGAAGCCCTCTTCATCTTCAAAAACGTTAAGTGCAGATATACATCAAAGTTTATTCCAAACTAGATGTAATGTTATTTGAGAAAAGAAAACAAATCTTTCTTTAATCATCAAACTACTGTGCTGCTGTTGGGGAAAAACTACTTCTGAGTTACATGTGAAAATCTTTGTTCCACCAAACTTTTTTTTTTTTTTTAAACATAATTATGGTTTGGAAGACATTTAATATCTGGGGTTATTTCACGTGGGAAACAAACCTGCATTACTGAGTTCAACAACTAAGAACCAACAACAACAACAAAACTGACTGAATTCCATTTTAGGGTTAACTTTCTTTTCTCTATTTTTCCTGAACTTATTACTAAAATACTTCTGTACAGTATGTACTTCAAGGCTCTCTGAGAAGCAGTTTTGAACAAGAGCTATATTAGAGGGCAGAGAAGTAAAGGCATGCTTTAAACTCCCCACATGTAGGATTCAACTGAAATCTAAATTAAGAAACATGGGGGGGCGGAGATAGGGGTGGAGGAGGCCAGTGGGGGGGTGGGAAAGGGGGACATCTGTAATACTTTAAACAATAAAGACAAGTTAAAAACAAACATGGAGAGGCATATGTGTACCTTAAATCACTTCAAGTGAACTATGTATGTCATTTTATTTCAATTATCTTCATATTTCTTAGGGTCCTGTACATTTATATATTTTTAGAAGTGTTAAAATATGATAAAATCTTACTGTAGGCTTTTTGCCTTCCTTTAACAAAGTTTTTCTCTTGAGAACACCTTGAATAGTAACAGCTCCTGGATATAAATGTACTGCCAAATCTTCTGATTCTGCAGAACTATAATAATGAAACGAAAAAAACAAAACAAAAAAAAAAACAGGTAAGAAAGCTTTTGTGTATAGTAGTTATCAAATAGGTACTTAAATGAAATGTAATTATTCTTTTATTTCAAAACTTTGTTACTTTATTCAGAATGAGAAGACACTGACAATTATAAAGGTCTACTGATCTGAAATTTATAAGCTGTTACAAAAGTTAATCTGGAAGTTATTCAAGTCAGCAGATGGTTAAAAACACACACTTTATTATATATTTGAACAAGTATAATTTAGAAAGAATAGGGTAATTTAATTTAGTAAAGATCAAATCAATTTAAGACTTTGCTTCTTCTTAACATGCCACACTGCATCACTGCTGTAAACTTTACCCCCATTAGAAACCTTAAGTCCTGGTAGGAAAGATGAGGATTCTATTTGTTAAAAGTATTTAAGCATGTAAAACTCAAAAATAATAAAAGCTCAAAAAAAGAAAAAAGAAACACACACACATTTAATTCCAAATAGTTGAAAGTAGTAAAAAGCAATAGAAACATATGTTTTTAAATTGGCTTTCTGCAATCAAGTTTAATTACATTTAAATGCTTCTAATGCATAAATATTTGATTATAGCCTAACTCCCAAACCCAAGATTTCCTTTCCATATATCTTAAGAAAACCATTAAAAATAACCAAACATTTAAATATGCCTCCCCAACTGACTCAAGTTCCTATATTTAAAACAAGAGTAATTTTCATAGTAAAAATCTGGCATTCTCTGGTGATGTGATTTGAGTGACAAAATTCCTGTAACAGTGATGAAAACTAAAGTTTGCCAATTTATTCCTTTATGATTATTTAGGTGTCTTCAAAGTGACTTAAACGCCTAGAAACTATCAGAAATTTCAGGCTAGAGCTATTTATATTCAGGGAGGTATATAAGAGGAGATTAGACACCATCAAAATGACACAGGTTCACTTGTAAACTTGGCTATTTTGTTGTATTATCCATTTGTTGATTACCCATTACCACTAACCTACAGTCCCCAATCAAGGCGCATTACTCTTATTTTCTTCTGCAGCTAATACAGGGCAGAAAGCGGACTCAGTTTAACTAGATGAACAATGGAATGAACATGCATTTAAATACACAAGTATTATTTAATGAGACAGACTCGTCTAAATTTAGCACTTGCAGTTTATTAAAAAAAGTTCTTTCAAAAGGCAAATCTGACTAGCAAAGTAAATTCTTTGATTTTAGCATTTGAATAAGGCTACAAGTGGATTTTTGTATTGCTCATCCAATAACTTAACAGTGTTAGAAAGACCTGTGCAGTTAAAAAGCTACCAACTTGGAATTATTTTTAAAACGTGACATAAAGATGCAAGTTTTAGCAATTAACTTTGTGGATCAGAAAGAATAATTCAAATTAATCTCTAGATTAAATCTTGGAAACTTTCCTAGGCATTTTTTTCAGTCTTTGAATCAATTAGTTGAGAAAGAACAGAAATGATGTGAGACCACACCCATGTAAGCCAATCACCAACACCAGAGGGGAGTTCTGTGGCCCCTGAATGCAGGGGAATTGTACCTGCTGGCCTTCATGTGGCTTCGATAGCCATTTCGTGCCACTCGTGTCATCGGGCCGAGAGAATGGTACAATCTGTTCCTGTTGGATTCCATTATAAATTGTATATATTACATATACTTTAATTCACACAAACATCATCAGTACCTAGAACAGCATAATAATTTTTGTGTAATAAAGCTTTCTAAATCTTGCAAAAGGTTAGTCTGTGATTGTTTCTGATCCTTTTTAAAAGCATGCAGCATCGATTTAAAAAACTTGTTTCTTTTACTATTGATGCTAGAATTAATATAGCTGCTTAGAAAACATCATACATTTATATATACATTCACTTCACAAATGTGCTAAAATAATTAAAGAGCAATTTATAACCAGGTACTACCAAAACTGAAAAATACTCCAAAAATACTTTTGTTTCTAGTCTAGTGCTTGGATTCCAGTTTAAATATGACACCTGGATTCATATAAATAATTCATTTTTATTATATGTCCCTATGAAGACACCTAAAAGCAATGTGGCCAGTAAACTTAAAAAATTAATGTTGCCAAAACACCTTATCTTCCTTCCTACCCTTTGTGTTAAATCCAAGAAAACGAATAAGAGAGACAAACTGAGTAATAAATAAAGGCATTATTTTCCTTCCATGTCAACTGAAATAAATGATAAAGCCAGTAAGTGATAACAATGGTATGAATTAATATTTACCCAAAATGGCGTATAATACTTAACAAAAGAAAATAAACACACACATAGACACTGATACTTCTTTGCCTGGGAAAAGCCAAAAGTTGATAAATGATATTTAAAACAAAAAGCATTATTTTAGCAACTGAAGCAGCAACCTATTTGATGTCTCTCTAGGAAGTAAGAACAGTAAATGGCATGTTTAACATTCAGAGTACTACTTTTAAGTTCATTATCTATAGGTAGTATTTTAAATCTTAGTTCTTTATTCATTTATGATTATTTCATGTCTGAGTCTTCTGGGCAGCTTCAATTTGCTCTCAAAATGTTTCAAGAGCCACTGATTTAAACTTGGCATGAGTATAGCACAGGGGTGGGCAAACTTTTTGACTCGAGGGCCACAATGGGTTCTTAAACTGGACCGGAGGGCCGGAACAAAAGCATGGATGGAGTGTTTGTGTGAACTAATATAAATTCAAAGTAAACACCATTACATAAAAGGGTACGGTCTTTTTTTTTTTTTTTAGTTTTATTCATTTCAAACAGGCTGGATCTGGCCCGCGGGCCATAGTTTGCCCACGGCTGGTATAGCAGATTTTTTTTTTGCTGCAAATGTCTGCAAAGCAAAACATTTGTCATAAAAAAAGAATTGTTCTGAGATGTGAAGGTAACACCATTAAATACTATCTTTGAAAATAACCTGCAGGGATGAGAACAAGTTACCCACACCACTCTGGTTACTCACTAATATCTCAAGCAATCTGAGAAACAATTTTCTTCATCAATATTTTTTATCTAAAGATTACAACACACTCTATAACCAACATGATGGTATTATGCTCTTTCTAGAGGGAAAGAACTAAGTCAATTTGTATATATAGCATGTGCTAGAGGCAACTCTTGTGTTTTTCCCATTTCAGGCAAACTCAAATAAAGAGATAGAAAGTAAAAGTTGGAAGAAAAATAATATGCAAAAACAAACTGCTAAGAACCCCCCAAAACAAAACAAACAAAACTTGGGAACACTGATAGTGTAGAAAGGCTTAGGAATACTTTAATATATTGGGTTTCCAAGTAAAATCTTAATCATATAATGGTGAGAATTCTTTATAAAGTGTCATCAAGAATGACGTTGTAATTTTCCAATTAAACAACAAAATTCAAATGTAGTTTAATTTTAAGTATGTATTTAGTATAATTGTTTTCTATTAAAAGTCACTGATACGAAGTTAGATAACTAAATATTTCAATTCTATCAATTTTAATATGACATTCAAAATTCAATCTAAATGATACTCTCGCTTAGAAACATAGCTTGCTTAGTATATATAATAAATTACAATTACTTCGGTCAAGAGTCAAGTGCCGTATAAGTATGAAAATGGCAGGAATGAAATGGTCAGAGACAACATAAAAGCCCTAATGAACATTTAATATGTAACATGTATTTGCACTGTTTGGCTACATTTTTAAGGTCATCTTATTTGGAAGTTCAATATAACATGACGTTTGCTGCAGGTCAGTGACGGCTTTTATAGCTTAAAGCAAAAGGAAAGGAGAATGCACGCTTAGTATCTCTCTATATAAAAGCCTAAGCGACCCTTACGACCACTGACTGGTTCACCAGTCGCTATGACACACAATGACCACCAGGGGGCAGATGCTCAACGCAGGAGCTGCCCCCCCTGGTGGTCAGTGTGTTTACATAGCGGGAGTGCGCTCAGCCAGAAGCTGGACTCATGGTTGGCAAGTGCAGCTGCGGCCACGGGAGCCTTTCCGGCTGCCTGCCGCTTCAGCACTGCTACTTCCCTTGGGGGATGTTGGACTGCTGGCTTCACCTGATCCCATAACAGGCAGTCTTACATCACCCGAGGGATCTGGATTGCGAGAGGGCACAGCCCAGGCTGAGGGACCCCACCCGTGCACGAATCTGTGCACCGGGCCTCTAGTTTCAGTATAAAACTGCGTCCTCTGTGCAAACTTAGTGACAATTTAAATTCAAACTTTAAACTGCTTTGCTTACAGTTTAATTTAAAATTTACTAAGTCATTTTGCCCTTGACAAAGCAGCAGAGAAGGAAGTTGATCATTCTACTGAATGTCTTAAATTACTTAAATCACCCAGGATTTTAGAAAATAATTTTACTTTTCAACACATAAATAGATACATTGACCATGATTATTTTTTTAAAATTATAATTTTAAATGTGCTAAAATTTATATACATGTGTTAAGCCACCAAATAAACATGTATTTATTAGGTAAGATTCAATTCCAGACTTAAATATCAACTTCTAATTTTTGTCACCAGCAGGAAGTTCAAATAGTCCCTTAGAGTATGTAATAAATATTATCTCTTAAATATCATATTGTCATAGGTGAACTATATTATTCATATACTTTCAGACAGACCAAAAAACAAAAACTCAGAGCAGTTCAAATGGACAATTTTCTTACCTTTCAAAAGCAGGCCATGAGGTCTCTTCACTTAGTTCAGAACCATCACTGCTACCTAAAATTACAAGTTATTCTATTTTTTAAACATCAGAATTTCAGTTTGAGTTTTTTAATTTTAAAAAGTTTCTCTAGCTGTGCTTCGCCCACATATTAATTCTTCATTCTAATATTATTGCTGCTAAATTTATTTTACAATATATTGGAATACAGTTGATAAGAAAATAAATTAACATAAAAATATTTTTGCATGTCTACTTATAACTCAAATTCATTCTGTTAGTAAACAAATTTCTTGTATGATCAGACAATGCATATAAGTACAACATTTTTCCTTACTAGGTCTGTCATAATATAAGACCAATATAATTATGAAATTCTTAGAGGTCGATGGCATTACTTTGAACCGGCGACCTCTCGGTGCATGGGACAACGCTCAACCAACTGAGCCCCACTAGCCAGGGCACCATCACGAATTATTAACTTCAATATTACTAATGAGATGAGCCTATGTCTAATAGCTACTTTGCTTTACTCAAATTTCCTGTACAGTAGGTCCTTGGGTTATGTCAGAAATCCGTTCCCACGGCGCAACGTAACGCGATTTTCGCCGTAAGGTGGAACCCACCTATATAAGCACCTACGTCACTCACATGGAGCACATACACAGAAGTAATGAAGTGAAACAGTAAAAAAAATTGAAAATATAACAATTCCTGACCTTTACTTGTGGTAAATAAATAATAAAAAACATAAAGCACTTATGTACATATGTTGAAATGACGGAACTTTTTTTTTTTTTTATAAATGGGAGATGGCGACATAACCACGAAACGATGTAAGTTGAGTCCAATGTAACCTGAGAACTGTCTGTATTTGTAGTAGGGATAATGATATTTTTCCGGCTGAATTTTGTTAAACACCACATTTTAAATAAGTTGGAACCCTCCAGAGAAATATTTCTCACCTATTGATATTCCACTAGACAGAGTTGAACTTTCAGCTTGACCTCGAGATGGTGCGTGGGGCTCCATGACGCTATCATCTAATAGATGCGTTGGCCCTGCATTTGGGAATGTCGCACTCTTAAACTCTGCTGTGTTCATTTTATGAATGAAACTGGAAAGAAAGAAAAATATTTCATTACTGTTACTAATTCAGGATATAAAAGATACTCCTATGTAAAGATCCAGGAAATACTAGTAAAAGATTTACCCACTGTCCTGAACTTCTGAACTCTCATACTAATGATAACACACAGATTTTATTTAGCATGAAGGTCTCAAACTAAGAGTGTAGGGAAAGTATTTTAGGAAACAAGGCCATATCTACTGATGTAATAGAGAATGCTTTAAGTCTCCAGTCTATTAAAAAATTGTTTTCACACTCACTTTGGAAAAATAGGTATTATATTTTCACAAAAATCATGGCAAAGGTGAACCATAGGCCCTGTTTTGAAAAAAAAAAAAAAAAAAAGATCTTGCAAAGCTTAAGAAATTAAACATAAAATCATTTCCCACTGTTTATATTTAGGAATAGAAAGAATAATTTATATAAACCTTAATTTATGGTGACAAGCATTAATTGTCTTGATACAAAAAAAGGGTTATAATTTAAAAGTAAAATAGTATATTGCTTTCCTGATTTCATTTATGATGATGCTCTCTGATACTCATTTATCTCCCTAAAATGTGAAGGCACTGTTGGGGAAAAACTCATTTCCAAATTAAGGTAAAGGAAGAAATAAATGATTTTAGGCAAACAAGATATTTTCCTGTATACTGTATACTACAGTATACAAAAAAATTATGAGGACACTATTTTCTGTTTAATAAAATAAACAGAAAATAAATGAACTGAAAATGATTTACAAATTAGAAAGAGAAAATGAAAAATGCTGACTTATAACCCAGGCTATGGCACTTCCTATGTCCATGTGGAATCAGGTTCCGAGGGGATGGCAGTGTGTGAGGTAACAAGGCTCCTTCCGCTGCCACACTTCTTCCACTTTGTGGAGATCCCAGTTCAGGACCTAAGGGGTCAATTTAAAAAAAGGGGGGGGGGGGAGAGAAATTTTAAGATTGTCCTCCTATTTTAATCCCTTCATATAAAAAGTGGTTTAACTTTTAAGATGTTAATTCCACTTAATTAACTGAAGATGAGAAATAGTTCTGTAAGTCTTAAAACACAAAATCCCAAAGCACACAAAATCTACTGATTCCTGTCTCTCTGATGTGCACTAAGTAGGCAGTATAACTATTTCCCCCGTTACAGAGGCAGAAGCAGAATGAACAGAATTGGGCTCAGGGTCTCCCACCACAGGTGACACCTGGACTGAGCACTCAGGTCTCCCCGCTCTGGTTCACAGCTCTATTTTTTAGTTTACAGGCAGCTTCTTTACTCTTACTTCCAGCTTCCTTTTAGGTAAGATAAAAAACACAATTCCAAAGTACACAGATTTGCAAAATATCACTGTAAGAAAAGCAAATGTAAGAGATTTGGCTAGAAATGTTTTCCTTGGCTAGGAATACTCTCCCCACGAAACACAGCCATGGTTTGTTCTCTCGCTTCCTTCATACATTATTAGATGGCTCTTCAAATGTTTTTTAGAACACAGAGTAATATGAAGCTTATTACCAAGGTCTGTGATTGAAATTTTAAAAAAGGCACTTATCAATTATTTACTAAATAATGAGTAGTCTTCAATTTTATATTTTTTAATATGCGTGGTATATATGTAATACCCTCATTGTAATGCAACAGGTAAATTAAGGACTATGACTATATTTTAAAATATTTCAGTACTTGACCCAGTATTAAAGTAAAATTTAAAAAAATTAACTCACTAAAATTGACTTAATTATTTGAAATAGAATTTTCCATTTGACCACAGAAATTTCTAATGTAATCAATACTCATAGTCTAGCACAGTGTAGTCTTAAAAAAATTAAAATAGATATTTATAAACATTTATCTGTTATTTTCTGTCCGTGGTATCTATTTTCCTTGATTAGTCAGAATATCTTTTTTTCTTCTTTTAAAATTAAATTTATTGGGGTAACACTGGTTAATATGACAGAATATCTTTTTTTTTACATTATTGACAAACTACAAGTAACAATTTTTTTAATTAAAAACCAAAAAAGCCCAAGCAGAAAAAAACATGTATTTTAATACTAAAAGTAAATGTTGCATGCAGTATAAAATGTGCTAAGTATTTACTTACTTTGCAACATTTTCCTTCCCATTAGGTTACCCGATTTATTATGGTAACAAGAGAAAATGCACTAACCTACTAAGTCTTCCCTAGAAGCAGCAGAGCGTGGTGTGCTTGTCCCTGGTTCTATCTTTAATGAAAGCCTGAATTCCAAAAAGAAACAAAACACATAAAATGACCAACATTTGACAAGCTAATATTAACATCATGTATTTTCCCACAAATTAACTAAAAACATTTTAATAAAAGAGTCTCAGCTACATATTTTTCTTTGAACGCAAACTTGAATAGTTAAGTCTCCTATCTCTTTCACACGAAGCTGATCTTATGGTTATTCTAAGAAATATTAGAAAGGGGAATAAACATTAAAGAGTCACATTTAAAAACAGAAAAATCTCCCAAAACTACCCCAACGTTGTCAAACAATTCATCACTTTTAAAGATATTTGATGAATGACTAAAAGGTGATTTACACTGGAAGTTATATTGATAACTGATACTTAATTCAGGAACTTTCACATATATTATTAAATATATTATGCAAATTCTTCCTAGAATCTTTACTAGAAGGGCTAATGACTTCTGTAGCACTGAAAGTTTAAAAAACACCTTATTTAAAACTCACCATACAAAAAACTAACCAACTCATCAAAAGACAGGTCTATACAAATAAAAAGGGTTGCTTGCAAAATTCCTGATAAATCCCTGCCCTAAGTCACAGTTTATTAGTTGGTACTTAACTTCCATATAGGATCACAGGCATAGTTTTGAATTCCACAGCAAAAAGAGATTATGATTCCTATCAATGGAAACTATTTCATGAAATAGGATACTAAAGCCATTGTGGAAAATTCTTTGGTGTAGTCCACAAAGCCTATTAGATGCATTTGTCTGAAAATTAATGAAGCCATTTTATTTTTAGCATTCTGTCAACTGGATTTATGAAATTACATAATACAAGTGACATTCATAATGATAAATCTATTATAGGTCTTTAACTTATCACTTCTTTGGTAACCTAAGAGGGGATTACATATCCTTATATTCCAATCATTGGACAGTATTAAATGCATGTGTTGAATATGATTAACTAGAACTCTCTGCTTTCTTTTTACAGAGCAGTTTAATCACCTGGGCTGCAGACTACACTGAACTCATTCATTTAATAGTCACTGAGCATCTACTTTGTGTTGGGCACTTTGGTCTCATGGAATATAATAAGAGACGAAGGCAGACATGGTGGCCCTGCCCTCCTGAAGATCATAGTCTAGTAGATGTAAGACAAAGAAGTAAACAAAATAACTACATTTCCTGACACAGAAGCAAAACAGAAGAAACAGCAAGGAAGCTATGGGTGAATCACAGGGCTATCAGCAGCAGCAGCACATCACGGGCAGCCGCACAGAAGTGGAGCATCATAAAAGTGCAGCAGTGAAGGCTGGCCAGTGTCAGTGCCTTTATCATCATCAAAATACCGTGAGATAACAGTGATGCTGAGTCAATGAAAAAGATGTATCATCATCAAACACTAACGTAAGAGCAGTGATGCTGAGTCAATGAACAAAATTATGTTCAGTATTAAAATGAAAGAACTTCTATAGAATTCCATCCTGATTAAATCCTATGCATGTAATTTGTAATATCCACACTGACTGCCTATATAGATGAAGTTGCCCAAAACAGAGGCATTTGGATAAATGAAATATCATTTTTATTTAAATCTCTTTCATCAGAAAGATACACTTTTCCCCTAATTACTTTAATGGCTCCTATCTTAAAATGCTCTGATTTTCAACACATTTAATTAGTAGGCTCACGCAACATAACTGCAGCTTTAGAAAAACAATCTATCTCCTTCAGTATCCCATCTGATGCCCCCCCACCACCAAGTGGGTTGGAGTCCTGCAGCAAACTCAATGTTTGATCATTCCCTCCCCTGGAACACCTTTCCTTACCCTTCAACACGGAGCTAATTCCTACTCGGATTCAGCCTCAGGTGACACTGTCTCCTGAAGCTGTTCAGGTTTCTCTTCACTTTTCCCACGTAAAGCTGAGTCGGGTCCTCCCTTATCTATGCTCCCATAACATACTGGGCATATCTCGATTATAGTACTGTTTGAACTGTTTTGTAACCATCTGTTTTGTGGATGTGTTTTGCATTAGATTGCGCCGCTTAAGCATTTTTCAGAAATTTTAGCCTTTTACTGGTATTAATTGTATTCTGCAAAATTCTTTAAAAATTATTGAAGTTATGAAACAAGGAAGTTGATCATCACTATCATATGAGATAAAAACATTTTTATATAATGCATTAATACTGAAAAGTAACCTACTCTTTCAATGTGATCAAATTTTAAAGACTTTGATTGGAAAAAATATTGGTGGAAGACACACCAAGTTAAATTTTAAACTTAGGAACAACTGGCATAATAAAGCTGAACACAAAATATATTTTTTTAAATTAACAAATGAAGCAAAAAACCCTACACAGAATCCTAAAGGGAAATAAGTTCTTTACTCTCTCATGTTTAGAAAAAAGCTGGCAGCTGTGATGTATAGCATACCACTGAAAAATACAAAAGGTTAATTCCAAATTCCCTCCCACCTTGGTCAGTACTGTGGATGGTAATGAGAAGGAAATGAACACTATTTTAATAATGATTTTTAAAATCTTTAATAAAGGACTTGCTCTAATAAAGAAAAGGGTAAGTGTGGTGCTATATACAACTATATATCCAACCCAAAGGCAAGAAGGTTCAATATTCTCTCAAATCACAAAAACTATTCCAAGAAAGTTCAAAGATGTGTCAAAAATCATCATTAAAAAAGGAGTAACTTTTCTACTTGTAGACGGTTTCATTAATTTTTCAGTCTATTAAAAGATAAATTTCCATAAAGATTCAATGCTTGAATAAATAACGGAAGACATTTAAACTAGAATTATCAAACATAACTATTAACAATCTGAGAAAGATGAAATAGTTTTTAATAAAAGGATAAATGAGCCCTGGCCAGTGTGGCTCAGTTGGTTGGGCATCGACCCATGCACTGAAGGTTGCAGGTTCAATTCCAGGTCAAGGCACATGCCCAGGTTGTGGGTTTGATATCCAGTTAGGGGGTGTGCAGGAGGCAGCTAATTGATGTTTCATTCTCACATTGATATTTCTTTCTTTCTCTCTCTCTAAAAATCAATTAAAAATCTTAAAAAACACACAGATGAAATATTTGTACATTGACTCAATCATGTCAAGTGTTATTAAAGAGAAATACATGTAAATACCTTTACCACTGCAAATATATGGCTGGATCAGGCACTTAGGTGATATGATGGAAGACTTAGATGTTTAAATACATTGGGATGAGTGGGGGTAGGACAGTTATACAAACCATTTTTGAAGATCCAACCTACTTGTAATTATCATCTTCCACAAACTTTTGTAGTTCTTCTATATACTGAACAGAGTTCAGATATTTTTGGACGTGAGGCAACATGGGGATATCTAGGCAAAATGTAGTAAGTAATTAAACATCTGATAAAGTACATCTCAAGCACAGTTTTAAAAATTAAGCTGAGAAAATGATATTTAAAGGTGAATTAAGGCCACCTGGCTCCAAATTTAAATTAATTTTAGAAGGACATTACTGAGGAAAAGTTTATTTAAAATAAGAATGAAAGTTGTATAGATTAAAGAAACCTCCACAAAACCCAAATAGCCCCATTTACAAAGTCCATCATATTTGAGAAATTTCTTAGAAAAAAAAAAATCAGATGTCATTGTGACTTATCTTAAAATCTCATCTAAAGGCAAGATGTAAGGCAGTTTTGTTTTCTTTTAAAGAAGCCTGGCTCCCATTTGTAAATGTAGTTTTTCTTCCCCTACTTAGAAATTTCAAACATTAATTTAACATTATAATTTGGTATGTTTAAAAAAAAATGAGAAAAGGACAACAGATAGTTTGATTTAACTTTCAGTAAGATTCACCCCCCCCCCCAACTTGTAAGAAGTTTTTGAGGTTTTCTTAAAAGTTTAGACATAGTAAAGTTAGCTTTAAGACAAATTTATTTTAAAGTAATTAACAGTGTAAACTCACTGTTTTATAATACCATAAAAATTATGTCAGTAGCCTATATTTAATTAATTCCCTATCAAATTAAAAGAATTCCAACATTATTAAAATATTAAAAAACACACACAACCTTTTCTAATCATCTGGGCTTGTGTAAGCTGTTTCTATACATGTGCTTCCACAAAGTAGAACTTGGAAAAAAATTATTTACTCAATATCAAACTCAAGAAAAGTGAATAAACTGTTACCAAGGTCAAGGGTCTTAGCTCCTTCCCTAACTGACAAATATAAGAACTGTTTCCATAATAGATCAGGGAGATCAAATGGGATGAATAGAAAATAATTTTGTAAATTATGTTAGCAAAGTTGTTACAAAATAACAAAAGAGCAAAGAAAAAACTTAAAATTTTAACTAAGAAATACTTTAATATCTTAAAAGCGAGATCTTAAACTGGATGCTAAATATTAAACGTGAAATAAAACAGTCACTGTCATCCTTTGTGTTAAGATGTTTCCTGCTATGTGAAAAGTGGCCTTCATTGTGTGTAAATGAATTAGCAGAATCACAACATAATGGCTTATTATCATCCTTCAGAAACTTACCATATTCACAAGACTGCTGTAAATCAGATATTATTCGAAGGATGTTATTCATCAAATTTGATCTCTGCTCACTTTCTAGAATGCTGCCAGTTGACGGGTATGCTGAATCAATGTAAGTTAAGTCTGACAAATAGATACCTGGAATGAAATTAGATAAATGAGAGTTTTCCTACTTGTAGTTTGGAAGAGTATGGCAAAGTGAAGGGGGAAAAAGCTAGCTTATAGATGTATTTCAGTATATGCCATATTTAGAATGTAGCATTATGAATACACTGCAGCCTTGTAAAAACACGGCCACTGAGGCCTACATTTCCATGGCATTGGGGCCAAACTTGGAAATACAGGGTGTGACAAAATCAGGTTCACAGCTGTTCAAATGGAAAATAATACAATAATTAATGAATAATGATACAAGAATAAACTCTGTGTTTCACACACTCACAACTATAAACCTACTTTTGCTCCAACCTTTTTTATTTTTTATTTTTGGTAGAAGTCTTCTTCTGATACTACCTTAAAGTATGGCTTTAAAAAAATTCTCACCCAAGGACATGCTGAGAGAGAGAGAGAGAGCGCGCGCGGGTGTCCTGGCTCTTGAGCAATATCAATCAGTGGTCTTCCACATGTGCCCTAAGTGGGGATCCAACCCCAAACTCAGGTATGTGCCCTAATTGGGAACAGAACCAGCAACCTTTTGGTGCATGGGATGATGCTGCAACCAACCAATCGAGCCACCTGGGCAGGGATCATTGCTTTGGTTTTTAAAGCTGTATCAATTCATACTTCCACTGACAGTATGTAAGTTTCTACTGATCTACACTTGATATTATCAGCTCCTTAATTTTTGCCAATCTTGTGAGTGTAAAATATCACTGTTTTAATTTTCATTTCCTTGATTAATAATGATATTAAATGTTTATATTTCCATGAAATGTCTTTTGTCCATTTTCCCCCTCTGGGTTGTCTTTTTCTTACTGATTTCTAAGTTCTTAATATACTGTAGAAATGAACCCCCTTGGCAGTTAAATTTTATCCAGTTACTCTTCAACCTACAATCTAATCTGAAGTCAGTATTTATATCTCACTGCTGGAACTTATTCTGGTAAAGGGATAAATGGCCTCCTCATTATTAGATCTTTAAACATTTCGGTCTCTTCCTTTCTCTCTGTAGTCTTTTTACTATTCCCTTTGTTCCTTGGTCTTAACTGGCTAGAACCTTCCTACTCTCCTCTGTTCTTGTTTTTTTTCCTCATGTTCCCTGGAATTTGGTATTCCTCATGGTTCTTTCATTAATCTTCCTACTTTACATGTACTTTTTCTGGATTATTTTACTTCTGCAGCTTCAACTACCACCTACTTGCCAATGACTTCCCAAATCTCTCTGTAGACATGATCTCCTGACTTATTTTCCAGCCAAACTAACTGTTATTTGTTCCTAAACACTTGCCATTCCAATTTCCTGCTGTGCTTAGTGATATTACTAATTGCTAAAGTTTGAAAGCTCAACTCACTCTAGTGAAAAAACTCAGGAGGAATTTACTACTCATATTTTCCCAGATTAAATGACTAGTGAATAAAACATGATTGCTGAATGCTCATGCAATGTGTTACGTAATATAAATCAGAGGCCAGAAGCTGGCAGTCCATCTGTCCCAGTGTTTGTAAAATCAGCAAGTATCACAGGAAATACCTCAAACCTTTCTTTTCCTAAAAAATGGGGAGATCTGCAATAATGAGGTACAGCAGAAAAGGGTGCAGACTCCACAACTATAATAATATCAGTTTGTCATAATCCTCATTTTCCTGTTATGGTCTGATTTACTTCACTTATTACATCACCTACCTCATTCTTGCTCTTTTTTAAAAAATTGATTTTTAGAGAGAGGAAGGGAAAGAGAGAGGGGGAGAGGGAGAGAGACACACATTGATCGGTTGACTCCCGCACATGCCCTAACTGGGATCGAACCTGCAATCTGGGTATGTGCCCTGACTGGGAATCGAACCACTACCTTTTGGTGCACAGGACAATGCTCCCACCAACCGAGGCACACACCAGTTAGGGCTCTGCTGCCTTCTTGTGGTGAGCATTTGTCTTTATAGGCCCTTGAGTTTGCAACCCTTGGTATCTATGTATGTCACAGGAATTTAAAGAAACAATTCTGCAAAAGAGCCAGAAACTAAGCTGATTTTAAATAAGGATATATGGATCAACAGTTGACAGTAGAGTATCAGAAAGATAAAGTACCGGGAGCCGGTCCATGCTTGCTGTTTCAAGGGACCTGGCATATATGGCATACTGTTCTTAATATGTTTGCTCACCTTCTTGGCACTATGTGTTTTAACCAAGGTCTCTGAGAAAGGTTGTTTCCCCAGGTAGGGATTTTCCCCTGAAGTTAGGGAGGGAATAAAACCTCTTAACTAAGTGCCAGGCGGGTAATTAATCACTTTAACTATGAACAATCATGCTTAAGCTACATAATCTTTACTCCCTGGAATGGAGATAAGAAACGCCCTAACCTTTGGAATAGAGATTGATAGGATTGGAATCAAATGGTATAAATACAGATGTAACAAGACAGAACTTAGAAGACAGAACTTATAAGACAGAACCTACACAGAACCTAGAGACAGAAGAACTTCGCTGGAGAGAACATGGCAAAAGATCCTGGACAGAAACTGGCAACAGAACCTAGAGACAGAACCTAGCGAGAGAACCTGGCTGAAGAACCTAGAGACAGAACCTGGCTACAGAACCTGGATAGAACATGGCAAGAGAACCTGACTAGAACCTGGTGACTGAACCTGGCTGGAGAACCTGGAAAGAACCTGGCTGGAGAACCTAGTGAGGGAACATGGCTACAGAACCTGGCTGGAGAACCTAGCAAGAGAACATGGACACAGAACCTGGCTGGAGATCCTAACCAGAACTTCGCTGGAGATCCAGACCAGAACTTGGCTGGAGATCCTGGCTAGGCTGCTGATCAACTGAACGCTGTCTCCGTGTCATTCCTTCTTTGCCGACTCCATCCACACCTTTGGGGACCCCTGGACCTGCTGGGGTTGGACCCCAGCAATAAAGTACAAGCTACATCAGTGATGGTGAACCTATGACACGCGAACTCGTTTTTTGGTTGATTTTTCTTTGTTAAATGGCATTTAAATATATAAAATAAATATCAAAAATATAAGTCTTTGTTTTACTATGGCTGCAAATATCAAAAAATGTCTATATGTGACACGGCACCAGATTTAAGTTAGGGTTTTTCAAAATGCTGACACGCCGAGCTCAAAAGGTTTGCCATCACTGAGCTACATCAACATCGAGGGGAAAGCACATGGTATGTACAGAAGAGGGAGCCCAAAGGTATTACCTAGCAGCAGCAATCAGCAATTATATACTCCAGTGAGAGTGTGGCATAATGCTCTGGAGTTAAGAGTTTAATCCCCCAGTCTACCACTTAGTGCTGAAGTACTAAGCCGAGTCAATTGAGATGCCTAAATTTGTGTTTCCCCAGCTACTGAGTTATTGAATCACATTTCCTGATTTAATGAAATATATTAGCATAGTTATAGTGCTCAACAACTAGTAATTCTCTCTCCAGCAGCCTAATTTCATAGCAGAAGCACGGGGCCAGAGGTAGGTAAAGGTGACTTGTCCAAGTTTACAGTGTGTGTGTGTGTGTGTGTGTGTGTGTGTGTGTGTGTGTGTGCCCCCGCCCCACAGGCCAGAGTTATGTTTGCATTTATTTCATATCAACCATAAGAATAACCTTATTCAGACAAGAGGCGCCATGTTGTAGAGCAGAAGGAAGTGACATATAGCATAAGAGTTTAGGTTTAAAAAATGTTAAATTTCTGAAATAATTTTATACATAGATTTCCACTTATTTTTGGTAATGATAAGCATATTACAACATTAGGTTTCTTATAACGTTTAAAGTCTTCAAAAATGGAAACTCAGTGAAATGTTTAAAACTTCTAGGCTATAAAGAGCATTACATTCTTTAGGTGGCTGCCTCCTGACCCAGTGCAACTAGTTCTTTGTAACAAAAGACAAACTCATTAGCCTGCAGCTACTTCTAAGTGAGGTTGAGTACTGTGTTTTTTCAGTATTTAACTTAAAGGATCTCTGGCCAGCAGACTACAATGTTTGTTTTATAATTGCCGCTGAACTAGGATAGTTTGTTTCCAGATGGTGCCCTTCCTTCAACCTGCACAGTCTCTCCTTGTTCGGAGCTATTCAACTCCCGCTGATCCCACTCCCCGCACTCCTATTTTAAGGCCACAGAGAGGAAATCCTAGGGAGGAGACTCCCCCACGCCCCCAGTCTCCAGCAATTTTTTGGTGACGTAAGATGTGGGCTGAACCCGAATCTACTGAGAAAGAGGGAATCACTATTCAAGGGCACTGTATATACAGTCTGGGTCAGCTGCAGCTGGTTACAGCGTTTCTCCATGTGGCAGACGGAGCAAAGCCACAACGCTTTCTCTGCTGGATTAAAGGCAGCCCACAGACCAGAACTTCCACTCCACTACTTAAGATTACATAGGTGGCTTGTCAAATTCGATTGATTAGCGTTGTAAGAAGAAAAAGAAGTTCCTTATTACAGCCTGGATTCAGCAGCCCAAAACAAAGATGCAGTTGCCATTAAAGTCACAGATGAACAAACTCCTACACTGATTTTTAAAAGCAAGAATAAGAGCGGCAAGTTTCTGGCTTTGCTTTATCAACAGATGCAAAAGGTATTTTAATGCTTTTATTTTTACTTAAAAATTCTAATGTATGTCAAAATGCATAATTATTTTACATCTGTCATAGAAATTTCAAAATCTCTTATTAAACAAAGAATTTTGGAATACACTAAAATTTATTTAATCTGGAAAAGTTTTTGTTTTTCAACTTTATGTAAAACCTGGTCATTACGTACTTTATGATTAATGTGTTATTTTTTAATTTAATGATCTTTAGTGACATGCTTATAGATTAATGTATATATGCTGGGTTTCAGAAAACAAGTGCTATCGTGACACAAGATAGAAACTTTAACGTAAAGATTTATGTGTAAAGTTTATATGTTTGGCATAGTGATGAAAAACAAAAAAATACAAACTTAAAGAAAAGTTATACACATTAGTCTT